GCATTAAAATTCTAATTTTAACTACAGAACTTAAACAATGTGATCGTTACAGACTTACAGACTGCACAGTACCAATGCTGCCACCATCCAGTAAAGATAAGGTAATAAATGAACACTTTTTCCCTCCAGAGCACTGCACAATATAAAACAAGATTAAATAGGATGTTTTGATTGGGCTGTGCTCTCCATTTTCTGTCCTGTATTCATTTACAGGAGGAATGACATTTAATAATTAATGCAAAATTCTGGCTTTAATACATTCAATGAATTATTGAAAATGAATATGATACTATTTAGTGGATTGCTTTTTATTTATCTGCATGCTTGGAGTGGCCAAGAATTATTACAATCACCATGGCAGCAAAAAGGGACTCAGTTTAGCTTTGCACTTGACTGCGACACTGACTTGTATGACAAAGTTTACACATTCGTGACTCAGTGTTGTAGAAAGCTTTTATTAACCCTCACGATAGTTCTATAAATAAATTACCATTTTAATGCAATAATCTAATGATTATTGGAATGAATGTGCACGATGTGTACGCGCAGACATGTTTCAGACGTTGATAACAGCAAAGAGACTGTGAATATAAATCCATTTATTTGCTGTGTTTTATACATTTTCTATTTTACTGGTAGATAAAACTAACTGTCATTTCAGAAAGTCTAACAAGTAATTTCACACATAGAGTTATGGTAAAAAGAAAGTTCACTCTGTCAGTGCTAAAGTTTTACATGTCAGGGTGTAATAGAAAGTCATTCAGTGCTTTTAAGGGCTTTTAAAGAAAATAAAACCTCACACGAACAACAACACATGCCATGTTACATCATTATTTATTTAACAAAAACGAAACCAATATGCAGAAGCTGTGTTAAACATTACCTTCACCCTATGATCCAGTAGCTTGCTGAACCACCTTTAGCAGTACTAGCTTGCAGTAATTGATCTGTGTGACTTTGTGAAGTCATTTTGGACCACTCTTCTTGAGGTTTGCAGGTTTACACACAACTTTTTTATTAGATAACATGGCGACAGGACTGGAAAGTGAGGAGAGGACGAGCAGCAAAAGGGCCTGAGGTCAGAATTGAACCAGTCTGTTTCATTTAGCCTTGCAGCAAATAGTTGCCTGCTCAGCCTGTGTGCTAAACCAGCACCCATGCACAGCTCTCTTAAGGTTTCTACTCAGCATTTCAGTAAGGTTGAGGTCTGGACTTTGACTAGGCCAATGCAACACCTCGATTCTTTTCTTTTTCAGCCTTTCTACTGTGAATTTGCTGCTGTGCTTGCGATCACTGTCCTGTTGCATGATATCATTTTGGGCCAAGCTTTAGCTGTCACACAGATGACCTCATATACTCTGGTATACAGAGGAGTTCATGGTTGACTCAATGACTGCAAGGGACCCAGGTGATCTGGCTGCAAAACAACCCTGCTACTTTACAGTCTTAATTCAGAAGAGGATATACAGAAGAGTATGCTACATTTAAACACTGCTTCTGGCTTTAGTTTTTGGGCAGATAAATAATAACTCAGAGTAATGTGTTATGTGTTATTGATAAGATCTGCTAAAGACCAGATGATTTTAAAAAAATATCCTGAAATGTAAAAACTTCGAAATAAGAGGTTCTTTTGGCCATCACTGTAAGTAAATTCAAGTCCACATGCATCATCATATGGTACAATTTTTACATTAGTGCCATTAAAAAGAAACCTGTTAAAGCATTTCCTATTCTCAAGAGCACCTATGACATACAAAAAAATTACATCCCCTTGAGTTTAGTTTGGGTGGAACAATGGTGAGGTGGTCTGAATCTGGGCAGCATCCTTTCTGTGCGGAGTGCATGCTCTCAGTGGGTGCTCCGGCTTTCCTCCACAGTCCAAAGACTTGCGTGTTAGACTGATTGTCAGTCTGGCTGTAGGTATGAATGTGAGCATGAATGGATGTCTGTCTCCCCACGTTAGCCCTGTGACAGATTGGCAGTCTATCCAGGGTGTTCCCCGCCTCTCGCCCTATGACAACTGGGAGTGGCTTCAGCCCTGTCGTAACCCTGAATTGGATAAGTGGAAGAAAATGGATGAATGTTGGGCATACATCCAGAGGATTTGTAGTCCATTTATTTTGTGAGTGTTTTGCTTTTGCCTCATTGCATAACAAGTTGATATTTCTGCCACCGCTTAAAAAGCAACAAGCCTGTAAATTCTCTGCAGTCTTGCTCCTAAGCTGTGACTCCTCTCCTCGTCAACAGGCGTGTTTTGATTACTTGAGTAGCAAAACGAACACGTCACCTTAGTCGTTACAACAAAAACACGATCTGAGTACTTTAACTCATTATAAGAACTTGTTGAACCCACCCAGATCGCGATACAGCACGTCGTTTCAATACTCACTATCGTCCCTCGTGGCTTGATCTGTAGGGCTCTCTAGTTTGTGAACAGCATCATTTCTGTGCGAGATCGGGGCCACGAGGTCCTGAGAAAAGCTAAAGAGAAAAGATGACAAAATAGAAATTAGTAGAGAGAAAGATAAACAGTAAGATGACAGTTTGAGATAGAGTGATAGGAATATACAAGAAGACTGCAGAGAAAATCATCCAGAGTGGAGAAAAACAGTGACAGGCAGTGGCAGAGTGGTGGGAGAAATGTAACAGACAGACTCAGGGTGAGCGAGGGAGAGGGAGACAGGCAGAGACAGACAGAGGGAGAGATAGACGAGCTGCGTGAGGATGCAGAGAGTGTCCCCCTCTCTCGGCTGCTGCCAGAGGCAAACAGACAGCCTCTCTGCTGGTGGAATGCTAATGCAACAAGCTGCTGCTCTCTTGTCTTCCCGCCCTTCTTTACCTTTCTTCTTCTTTAACTCTCCTCTGTGCAGAAAGTTTAGAGCCTATAAGACAAAAGCATAGACTTTGATAATGGAGACCCTGACCGTTTCATATTATTTGCACTTTATGTCGCGCCTGATTTGAACAACCACGCTGATTCCTATTCTCTCTGGAAAGATTAATTTTTGGGGGCTAGTTAGTGGTACGTGGACGTGAGCGTGTTGAGGAGAATCTTAGATGAGTTGTTTTTTTCATCTCTCGTCGTCTTCTCGCCACCCCTGTGTCATACACTGACATCATGTTTGTCTGCAGCTCAGTAACTATGGCTACTGTGGTGTCACTTTTGTGTGTGTGTGGGGGGGGGTAGGTGGGTGGGAGGTCAGCATATCGGTGGGGCAGTCGCAGGTCAGTCTGTCAACCTCTCTCTGTCTGTGTCACTGCTAGCTGACCTTTGACCCCCAGCTCTAAGACTCGGTCCAGCCGGAGAGACACAAAGCAGGTTTTTTTTTTTTCTCGCGACGATAAATGTCTCCTGGCATTATCTTCCAGCCACTTTGTTCTTCCATCATTTAAGACGTTCACATTACACAGAGAAATGGCCGCAAGTAAAAGACAGCGGCTATTTGTCCTCCGGAACTCCAGCGCATTTCCCTGCTGTGGCGACGGTCATCAGTTCTCAACTTTCAGGCAGGACATAACCTTGAGTGGAGCAAGTGGGTTGAACATGCACCCCACCCCCCACCCCTTACTCTACGCCCCGACACGAAAAACCACACTCGCGGTCTGTCCGCCGGTGTGTTTGTCTGTCTGCGTGGAGATGGCAGGTTCTGAGAAATGGTGGCACGCTCTGAAGTGCGATCCATTTAGATAGCAGCGAGGTTCTCTCCCCGTGCACATGCACACACTTAGCTAAACACACGCAAGACACCCAGACACAGACGAGAGCATGCGTGCGCTTCCAAACACACAAAACGATGTGCACATGGGCACAAAGAAACAGAAACAGATCTCCCTGCTCCATATACCCACACACACTCACTCACACACACACACACACACACACACACACTATATGCAGCAGTCTCTTGACATGCACTTGCTTGGTTGACAAGTCATCTCAGATAAGCTTGAGCGGCAGGTAGGGAGTGTTGACTACCAGTGTGTGTAGAACACTCTGCTCGATATCTCAACCTTATGATTATTGTGTAGTATTTATTTAATCAGATTTATATTATTTACTTCTAAAATAACAGGAACTCATTTCTTAACAGATATGGAGGATAGTGTTTTTTTTCCCCATCTCGCGTTTACTGTTCAGTTCATGTGGTATTGGGTTTATTTATTTTTTCCTCTCTGTTTCATTTTGGTTGTTAATTTCCCTGCCACCTTTTTCTATCTCAGTTCAAACATATTGCACTGCCTCCGTCATCTAGAGAGAATCTTGTCAGTTTTTTGGCAGCAGATGTATGTTCAAGCTATATTTTGAGGATTCAGGCCTTGTATACCCTCCTGCATTCACTCCTCCTCTCTGCGCTCCTCTCTATCCCCAGGCCTCCCCGTGCTCCGTTCCTCTATTTTCTTATCTACTTTCTTCTCCTACTTGCTCCTCTATGTCATTGCCAAATCTCTCCTGTCTGCTCTTCTCTGTCTTCTCCTCTCCCTCTCTCCTAACTCTCTCCATTTCTTTTACGCAGCCTCTTTTCTCTCTATCAGTCTCTCTATTCTGTGACTGCTCTTGCTGGTCCCCCTGTGGCACACCGTGTCGTGTCCCTAATTTATTTATAATTAGTGCTCTTTGTCGGGATGCGCCGGGAATGTTAAAGTACACGCCACCTCGCTCTGGATACAAATGGGCTGATGTTCCTCCATCCTTTCTGCCCGCCCCAGCTGCCCCACCGACACGGCCACTGGGATGGACAGATCTTACATCTCAAAGCCAGACACAGGTTCTTAAAATTATAACGACTCCACAGAGGAGGAAGCTGTGCGCTGCAGGAAAAAGTGTTATTTTAAAATTGGGCTTTAAAAATGTGTTAGAACATGTCAGTGAAATTCAGTTTGCACTAAATTTTTGTACTCACTTTTAAGAAGTGAGTGCACGTTTCTTAAAATCAACAAAGGAGAGAGGGCTGGCTGCTGCACCGCAATCAAGAAAAATATGACTTGATTGTGCAACATATTTGAAATTCTTATCTGCGCAGATCTTTTTTCAATTGTTCTGAGATAAAAATGACTTAATAGGAGGGAGAGTTTGCAGGCTGACTGACACCTGCTGAGATACAGATACACATTGTCAGTGCACTCACCTGTGCCGCACCTGAATGCAAAACAGAATAACAAGATTGGACAACATGTAATCTGAAAGTGTAATTTATTAAACATCCTGTTGAATTTTAATGGCCATCACTTGTAAAGTTGACTTGTTTTGGGGATTCGAACCGCAAAAAAAAAAAAAAAAACACACAAAAATGGCTCACAAAAAAAACACAGTATTTTTTTATCACACCACATTAATGTCAATGCCATCGTCAGACATAACGTACACGACCAGATGTGACGGCGCTGACAGGCTTGCTGTGTGTGTGTGTGCGCGTGTGTGTGTGTGCGCGTGTGTGTGTGATCAGCCAGGAAGAGCTTTTGTCCTTGGGCTGAGAGGGCACCTGGCTCCTCTTCCTGTCCTTGTGATCTCTCTGTTCCTTCTCTCTCGTGCCGCTCTATCCTTTCTCTATCTGTCTCTTTCTCTCTTCCCCCAGCTCGGATCCCTTCATCCCCCCATCTCGCTCACTCCCTCTCCTCTGCCCAAGGCGATGCCGTCCTGCAGGCTTTGATCAGGGGGCCAGGGAGGAGAGAGGAAGTGGGTCAGAAAGTTGTGCTGGAGACTGCAGGAGAACAAGGCTGGAATATCGAGTAGGTGAGGCTGGGAGTGGGAGAGAGGGAGAGATGGGGTAATCTAGTGAGAAAGTGATAGAGCGTGAGAGGGTGAGATAGTTGGGGGGGGGGGGTTGAGGGAGGGTGCTGGTAAAGAGGAAGGGAGGAGGGGTGAAATGGGGCAACCGTGAGAGGTAGAGGGAGGAGTGGGGGCTGCCTGAACTAAACGAGTAGAAGCAGATAAAAAGAAAATGAAGAAAGCAACAGGAGGAGATAGAGGAGAAGGACGTGGGAAAGAAGAGGTGTCTTCATTTACTGAGAGGAGAAAAAAAAGACAACACATTTGTCTTGAACGTGATGCTCAGCATTTAAACAGCAGGTTGGAGGATAAGGCCCTGTTTTAACTAATCTACACAGTGCAGGACAGATAGTTCAGCCCAGTGTGTCTGCATGTATGCGCAAGCCTATGAATATGTGTGTGTGTGTGTGTGCGTGAATACAGGCAGTATAGCCCTGACTGTGGCTCTTTGTTTTTTTTTTCTATAGATCATTAAGATGCAAGCTTTATTAATATTCAGATCAAACCATTAATATTCGCAGAGTGTTTCTGCTCTCCTTGTGTCGTCAGCTCACCTGGGACTGGGGAGGGCAGAGGAGGAAGAATGGAGGCGTGAGGAAGGGGCAGATGGGAAGAGGGGGCAAAAAGAGGAGTTCACAGGGTAAATCAAGGAGGAGAAATACAAGATGATTGTCGAAGAGGAGAAAGGTGAAGCAGCGGTGATGACTGCATGTGACTTAGGAGGGAAGGGGAGCAGAAAGTACAGTGGAGGTGGTGGAGGTCCTGCAAAGGGTTGGGTGTATTGTGATGGACAATCTGGCCGTGCGGGGCTGTGGGGCGGGGTTGGAAGGTTGGGGTGTTTGGAGGCTCTACCACTGGGACCGTGAGGTGAGAGGGGTGAGGGATTTTAGAGGAGAGATTGGAAGCTTTGGGGTTTTGCTTGTGGAGTAATTGGGCCAATGGGAGGCTAACCATAAACACGCACACACACCAGCACTCATATATTTAAAAAAACACACACACACACACGTCAATAGCACTTTGTTACATTTCTATATTTAAGAAAATCACAGCTATTCACAGTCATGCATGTGAATACATATTTTGATTTTATCAAGGCAAATAATAGCTGAAGAGGTACTCACCAATCACGGATCTGTGCAAACCACTTATACACGTATGCATGCAAAACATTAATGTTACTCAGAAAACATAAAGATGTGCACACCTTTTGGGGGCTTCATTTAATTGAATCAGTCGCAATGTCTTACGCTTGTTTGTGAAATACCGAAGCAGCAAATCATCACAATTAAGATGCAAAAATGGAAGACAGCGGCTTTATTTATGGTTGAGAAACAAACAATTAATTATCGAGAGTTGTCAGTTCGTTTAATCAATTATTGACTAATTCTTTCACCTCTACTCACATTTATGTGAATACGCGCCCTTTATTATCTCTTGTATGCATACATGTACCCCCCTCACGCACACATTAATACACACAGCAGGCACTCCAGTCAGTTACAGATACACTCAGGCATGCACAAAAGCGGACAGCAAATTAAAGTGGTAATTACTTTTAAGCCCAGAAAGGTGAAGGATTGTATGGCAGGGAGCAATGGGTCACTGTTGAATAGAGAATAGCGATGCAGGCAGACAGTGTGAGAAGCAGATATGCATCTCAATGAAATATGGAGGAGCATATTCAACAAAAAGGAGAAATGGCTCCTTAATGGCCACATGCCCTCAAAGAATTATTGTCTGATAGATTTGGAATATTATCTACTCTGTGGCAGTTATCTTCAAACACCCTTTTATGCCTTTTATGCGCTGCTGTATAGGGAAGGGGAAAAATGCAACCTAATGGTGTCATTTTGGTCTAA